TGTGTAGGCTTTCAAAACGTATCAAAACAAACTTATGGGATGTGAGTGTAGAATATTAATTATGATTCTAACAGTTAAACCCCTAAATCAGTTTTCCATGAAAGACAAAACAAAAACTGAATAACGCTGGCCTACTTCGGGGCTCCTCCATGTGTCCGCTATCGTAGGAGCCTCCGAAACCAAAGCCTGAGCAGTCCGGAGGGCCGAAGCCAAGGTCGCAGTGACAGTTGTTGTTGCTGTTGCACACGCCGTGGCCAGAGCAGCCGTTGGGACACTGAGATACGCCGTCAGGTTCTGCGATTTCCTTGCACTTCTGCTTCACGCACATCTGTTTCAACGAAATGTTTGCGTGAGAGACAGTCACACAAGAGAGAGAGAGAGAGAGAGAGAGAGAGAGAGAGAGAGAGAGAGAGAGAGAGAGAGAGAGAGAGAGAGAGAGAGAGAGAGAGAGAGAGAGAGAGAGAGAGAGAGAGAGAGAGAGAGAGAGCATTTTTAAATGACGTTATTTAAAAGTAAACATAAAACTCACAAAAAAAAACATAACACTACAAGAACATAACATACACAAAGCACACAACACATACCTTGTTCACGCCACAGCTAGAGCCATCGGGAACCAACCAGAAGGCGCTGGGTATGTGCCTCGATGCCAACACGTAATGGCACTTGCCTATATTCCCATACCGGTAACTGCCCGTGAGCATGGGCTTGTCCGTAGCAGGGAGGCAGTGCAGGGTGCCACAGGGGGAGTCTCTGAAATAACGTGGAGCATGAGATAATGGTGATGATGATTATGGTGGTGATGATGGTGATTGCAATGGTGATGATGATTATGGTGGTGATGATGGTGATGATGGTTATGGGGGTGATGATGGTGATTGCAATGGTGATGATGGTTATGGGGGTGATGATGGTGATTGCAATGGTGGTGATGATAATGATTGCAATGGTGGTGATGATAATGATTGCAATGGTGGTGATGATGGTTATAATGGTGGTGATGATGTACTGGGAAGATAAGGGAAATTGCAACAGTGATGGTGGTAGTTATAATGGTGGTGATGGTGATGACGGTTGGCTATAATGGTGATGGTAATAGTGATGATGATGCTGGTTATCATGGTGATGGTGGAGATAGTGATGATACTATTGGTAATTATAATGATGATGGTAGTGGCAATGGTGTTTTTATGGTGGTGGTGGTAATGAGAACAATGATGGTGGTGGTGGTGATAGTGATGATATTAGCAATGATTGTAATAGTAAGGATGATAATAGTGCAAAAGAAAATAACAAACAAAAGAAGTGATAGTAGTTATGGCATTAGTTTAAGAATGATATAAAAACAATGAATCATAGAATAACAGTGATAAAACAGAAGAAGAAGAATCAATAATCATGATAATAGCTGTAGTAGTAGGAAAAATAATAATGGTGATAATATAAACACAAACGACAGTAATTGACAACAATAGTCATAACATAAATAAATCTTTTGATTATCATAATACTAATGCCATTAACACAGATAATGACAGTGGTTAAATGACCCCCCCCCCCGTTTCAATTTACTTATCTTGACTATATTCCATTCTTAATTTAGGTACCAAATAAGATACTGTATCTAGAAAATCCACCGTTGAAACTGAACCACATCTCAAAGTAAAACATGTGATTGCAGTTAAACCAATCTCTTTTCCTTTTTACATCTACCCCCAATGATCTTTTCGTGTCAGTATATTAAAATTTACGTAAACAAGAGGTACCCGCGCTTCCATTTGTTGCCAAGAAGTACAATCTCGGCGAAAAATTCTTGCAAGATGTGTTTCGAATTCTGTTTCGAATTGACAGTTAATGTAGCCCTTGTTAGTAAGGTTTGGCGGATTTCGAAGCTTCATTTTGTTCCGTAACCGAGTACCATATCATACCTCTGACTACACTTGCTCAGGGTGTTCAGACCTCTGTCCTCGAAGCCACAGTTGCCGTTCGAACTACCTTGAGTGTTGTAATTGTAACACCTATCACCAGCCTTGGAAGTCGTCGGTCCCCAGACTATCTTGCACCGTTGCTCGTGGCTGCCGCACTCGCCTCTGTGGCAGTGGCCCTGGGGGTGGGGAGGCGGGGGGAGGGGGTATTAGAGGTGTTGTCTGCTGTCTGGGGTTATGGGAGGGGAGTGTATGCTCGCAATACCGACTAGGATAGGTACGATCTGTACATGTATATATAAATTTAGAACATGTCTAGGCATAGAGTGTTAGGTGTAGAGAGGGATAAGTAGATGGATAGTTAAGGCCTGAGTGATTAACACGACCATGGATGGATATGCAAAAGTTTTACAACCCGCGAATTCTACCAATTGACAAATAAATAAATAGATAAAACCAACTCCTCTAGAATTCGCACCATTCCATCGAAGCAAAGTTCCCCGTCCCTCCTGAAGACGTCGGCGGGGCAGTACTCCGAGTCCCCCGCGCAGAACTCGGGCAGGTCGCACTCGGAC